CATTTCTCCATCTTTTGTTTAAATCATAATTTTGAGATCAAGATCAGCATAATTTCTTTTCTTCAGGATTCATTCTTCCTTGTCTCTTAATCCTTTATATATAATTAAACAAATATAACTGAGAAAGCAAAATAAGTTCACAAAAATACTTCCAATAAAGCAGCATTCCCTGAGGATCAGCTTCCATTGTCATGTTGCCATAGTCCCCATCAAAACCAGTTCTGATTAATCTCCTTTGTCTGTGAGTCCTTTGCCATTCCCTGTCACTCCTCCTTGAGAGAGATTTCACCCTGATTCATAAGGAAAATGGGGCAGCAGACTCTCTTAGCTACTTCCTGCTGAAAAGGGACGCTGTGGGTTTCAGGGTGAAGATCTTCTCTCACTACTCTGAAGGGCCCTTTGGCAATAGGAAACACACAGACTATTGTGGAGACTGATTTTGTAATTCAGATGCACTGTTATCAATTGTGCTTAGGGATACACATTCATATCCTTGAAGATGCATCATGGAACTGCTGCAGTCCTGAGCGAATTCCCTTTTGGTTCCTGGTGTCTGATCGAAAAAGAGAAAGAAAGAGAAACCACCACCTTATCCAAAGAAAAACCACCACCTTGTCCCTAGGTTCAGGGCACCAGAATGTTGCAGACCGAGGGTCCCAAAGAATGAAATAATTTTATAATTATTAATAATGAGACAGACTACCAGGAATGATACAGAACAGAGAGTGTGAAAAACAGGGGGCCAACAGTTCCCATGACTGAAGGCCTGTTCAACTCTTTAGTATCTTGAATCCTTCCTTGTGCTTTGGCTTCTCTGTGCTCCAGTGCAATATTCAGAGTTTCTTCCGACATCCATTTGGGTCTTGTCTTCCTCCTCTGTCTTTGTAATGAACATTTGCACTCTTCGTGGATGATACCCTTGCTATCCTCCCACAACTCATCTGATCTTCACTCATTCGTGTTCAAGGCTTCAAACCTGTTCTGAGATGGTTCTGAAATTCAGGTTGGATAGCAAAAACTAAGGTCTCAGGAATAGATGGTATACCAATTGACATATTTCAGCTAACAGATGATGCCCTGGACGTGCTCACCAAGTTGTGTCAAGAAATCTGGAGAACAACCACTTGGCCAACTGACTGGAAGAGATCTATATTAATTCCCATTCCAAAGAAGGGTGACCCAACAGAGTGTGGAAACTATAGAACAATATCATTGATTTCACATGGAAGCAAGATTCTGCTGAAGATTATTAAAAAATGACTGGAACAGCACATCAGCAAAGAACTGTCAGAAGTCCAGGCTGGATTTAGAAGGGACTGTGGTACTAGGGATATTGTACCTAATGTTAGATGGATCTTGCCAGAAAGCAGGGAGTACCAGAGGAATGTCTATCTGTGCTTCATTGATTATGCAAAGGCATTTGACTGCGTGGATCATAACAAACTGTGGCTGACTCTGAGAAGAATGGGAATACAAGAATACTTGATCGTGTTAATGTGAAACCTATACTTGGACCAAGAGGCAGTCATCAGAACAGAGCAAGGAAACACTACATGGTTCAAAATTGGGAAGGGCGTACACCAGGGATGTGTCCTGTCTCCATACCTTTTCAACCTGTACACAGAACAGATCATCCGGGAGGCTGGGCTCTATAAGAAGAAATGCGGCATCAGGATTGGTGGAAGATCTATCAACAATCTGTATTATGCAGATGATACAACCCTGCTTGCGGAAACTGAGGAGGACCCGAAGCCTTGGCTGCAGAGGGTCAAGGACTGCAGCCCCCAATATGGATTGAGGCTCAATGTCAAGAAGACAAAGATTCTCACCACTGGGCCAATTGGCAGCATCAGGATGGATGGTGAAGAGATTGAGATTGTTCACAGCTTTAGTCTGCTTGGCTCCACAATCAACACTCTTGGCACCAGAAGCCAGGAAATTAAAAGATGTATTGTGATGGGAAAGTCTGCAGTTAAGGACCTCTCTAAAGTACTGAAGAGCAATGGTGTCTCTCTGGAGACTAAAGTGTGTCTGATACAGGCCATGGTCTTTGCAATCACTTGTTATGCATCAGAGAGTTAGACATTGACTAGGGAGGATAGAAGGAGAATTGATGCCTTTGAGCTTTGGTGTTGGAGAAGAGTATTGAATGTACCATGGACTGCTAAGAAAACAAACAGATTCATCCTGGGGAGGGTTAAACTGGGCTGCTCCTTGGAGGCAAGGATTCTGAGGCTTCATCTGACATACTTTGGCCATGTTGTAAGGAGAGACCAATTCTTGGAGAAGGAACATCATGATTGGGAGGGTGGAGGGCAGGCGCAGGAGGGGAAGGCCCTCTAGGAGGTGGACTGATCGGGATGGGTATGTCAGAGACAGTGCGATTGGCACAGGACAGAGTTTAGGGCTGTTATATATAGGGTCGCTATGAGTCGCAAGTGACTCGACGGCACATAACAACAACAACAACTTAACCAGTTGCCTTCCTCAGTCCTTTTGTCCAATCACAGACTTGAGCTTCAAGTACACTACCTTCACCAGGTGCTGGCTATGCTAACTGGGCAGGATCATGACAGCCCACAGCCTCCTGGAGCTGGTGCTGCAGAGCAGAAGCAGCTTGTAGAGAGGCTTTCATTCTGAACTCCCCATCTGAATGAAAGGGCATATTCTTGGTGTTTCTGAAAAGTCACATCAGTGCTCATGAAGATAGAGCCCAAGAAGCAGCAGCAGAGGCAGAAGACTTGTGTTCTCTGAGGTGGATGGGTCTTCTTGTGCTTAGGAGAAAGGGAGGCAGCCTTCCTAGGAAGTGCCTCACAACAGCCTCTTAGCAAAGGGAGCTCCTGGTATGCAGGCACAAAGCCCATGTTCACCAATTTGTTCACTAGTGAACACTAGTCTGTTCATTAATCTATTCACTAGGACAGTGAGGAGACACATGGTAACATTCTTATTTTGGAAATGAGGAAACAGGCTCAGAGATTTAGCAACTTGCTAGGGTGACATAGCTTTAAGGGATAGAGCGAGGATGTGACCAGCTTTGTCCCATTCAAATGCCTCTCTCCTATGTCAACTGCTCTTTTGATTGGCAGTGTTATTCTTGGTAAAGTTCGAAGCTCTTGGAAAAGGAGATACTCAATGCCCCTTCCCAGTAAAGATTTTACTTCAAGTAAGGTCTCTTTTCATAGAAGGAGGGTCTTGGCTTATTTTTTTTTAATTCATTGTTGCACATTTTCTCCCCTTATCCCCCAGCTCACCCAATGATGCAGCCCTTCTCTAGACTGTTGTCATATGTATAATGCCTAACCATACATTCCTTTTGGACAGTTCTCATCTCTTCTAATGCAGTGTTCTATCCACTCTAATACATTATCTATTCACTCTTTACCAATTCTCTCCCCCACTCCTCCCTCCCACCATGTCTGTCCTATTTTATAACAGTGATGTTGTGCAATATTTATCCTTTTGTGAATGAGATATTTCACTCAACATAATATCTTCCAGTCTGACCCATGTTGTATTATGTTTTACAAGCTCATTGTTTTATTACAATGCTGCACAATGTACTATAGTTTTTCTATCCATTCATTTGTTGTTGGGCACTTAGGTTGCTTCCATCTCTTTGTTATTGTGAATAATGCAGCATTAAACGTGAGTGTGCATACATCTATTTGAGCCTCAGCTCTGGTTTCTTTAGGGTATATTCCCAGGTGTGGAACTGCTGGGTCAAATGGTACTTCTATTTCCAACTTTTTGAGAAAGGACCAGACTGCCTTCCATAGTAACTGTACCATTTTATAGTCCCACCAACAGTGAATAAGAGTTCCAATCTCTCCACAACCTCACCAGCATTTATTGTTTGCTTCCCTGTTGAACTTTGTCATAGTTGCTGGCGGGAGATAATACCTCACAGTTGATTTAATAAGGAGGGCCTTTCTTACGAGACAAGAACTCCAGACTTAGTCTTGAATTCCTCTTGTCTTTGACGTTCTCCACTCTAAGACACTGTAGTCCCTCAGATGACTCTAAAGTCATCTTCCTTTAAGTCATTCTTTATATTGTCCATGAGCACGCGGCAGTCCTCAGGTGAGGACCTGCTCTGTGTGTCAGGGGCTTTACCTCCCTGCCTTCAACAACCTTCAACACCAAGGTCAGACTCAAAATTGTCTTTAGCATCATCAGTGCTGCTGGCCTGAGGAAGGAGAGGCTAGATCTTTCTTAAGGAAATGAGACATCTTAGGCCTTAATAACTCTTCCCAGAATTCTGTATTTGAGAGGCTGGGCACCAGTGATCTCACAGATACTGACCACTCTCTGCTGACATCTTCTATAGACCAGAAGCCACTGTGGTCTGAGAAGAGGATACCACTGTTTTTAGTATCTGAGAAGCTTCTAGATATGAGAAAGGTTTTCTATGTAGACATGGATAAAGCAGAACTATGTAAATTTGTTACCACAAATGACATACAGTTTTGATTAACAGCTTCAGTCACAATTCATATTGTACCTGGAGTCGCTGTCCCTCATAGATATTGTTCTATATCCTCAGTTATGAGAAAAAAGGATTTCTAGTCATATGTTATCTTAAATTAAAAATTTAGAGGCAGTTATAATCCTGGAGGTTATGTGACACATACACAGGCGGGCCAGAATTTAGAAGTTCAGGGAGGTAAATTCAGATGCAATATCCAGTATCTCTAGCAACACACATAAATCTTGTTGATAGAGAAAAGTGAGCACAGAGAATATAACATAATATAATGCTTAATGATCAAAGTGGCAATACTTTTTTTCAAAACCAATGAGTACAAATCACATGAGGGCCAAGACCACCTTTCTGTTGCATACAACCGACAGCTAACTTAGCATCTTCCAATTTCTTATCCAAGTCCATTTAGGCCAAGCCTCACTCAGATATTGCCTGCTGATCATCTCTCCCTTTTATTTTGCATAGACTAAGTAAACCTAGTAGGCTCTACAGCAATACAAGCAGTTGTTCCCACCTTTCCTCCCAAAGTAAAGGGTGGAGACCCAATCGAGAGGCAGTGATGTATCCATCCAAGTCCAGCCACTCCAAGGACCCAATGCCACCAATAGCCTCTCCAGCCTGGAAACAAGGAAACAGTGGGAGGTCACCATCACTTTGACAGACACAAACCTCAAACTTCCTCAAAGAAGGAGAAATAGTGAGGCTACTCCTAACAAACAGCCCTGATCACCTGTCTCCGCCGCCGCAGTGCTGCAGCCTCTGCTGGGTGGTTAAATCGGAACTTGTGTGCTTTCCCCAGAGTTATGACAGCTCCTGCGGCACAGAGAAAAATGAGCCATGTTGTGAAGATGTACTACACCCAGGATGCTGTGTGCAAGGCAAAGTTCTGCCTTCAACTGATGGGTGAGTTCACTGAGCCAATAAAATAGATATTAATTTGATAAAAGTAATTTCTCCCAGAATAGATGAAATATACAAAGAAAAGGGCTTGCTCTCCAGAGCAAAGCAAAGCAAGAGGAGTTCCAGATAAGGTGGTCAGGGGGAAAGCTCTGTTGAAAATGGACAATCTAAGCTCAGGCTCAAAGGACAGAATCTGAATAAATTAATCACAGTAGTAATAGTGACATTGTTGTTTACTTTCTAGTCAGAATCGATCCATAGCTGACCCTCCAGTGGGTTTACAGAGGCAGTAAACTGCACAGCACAGAAGAGGAAAACTCCAGATGACACAGACTGACATGGTAACTGGGGCAACGGGATTAGGTGTACTGGAGTCAGTGAGACTGGCTCAGGATAGGGTGGGATTCAGAGCTGTTGTACATAAGGTCACTATGAGTCGTGGGTGACTCAATGGCACGTTAACAGCAACAACAAACCTCACAGGAGGTGGCTGTCCAATCTTCTCCCACAATAATCACAGACACCAAGCACACTTTAGTTATTTTTTTTTAAATTTAGGTTGTTTATTTTTCATTTCAATGAACATCTACAGAGATTTTGGAATTCCATTCATTCATTGTTGCACCCTTCTCCCCGCACAAACCCCTCCCCCCTCCCCCCCTTTTGCTCCTCTCCTTGAAAAGCAAAAGCAAAACTCCCTCATTGGTACACAATCCCCCCCGCACCTCCCCAAACCCCACCCCCAAATATAATCCACCCTGCAACCCTCATTGCATACTCCTACGATAAAAATAATGCCCTAAAATATAATACTTTTAGACTATTCTCTCCCCCATAGACTTCAATGCCGTAAACATATTCCATCCAGTTTTTCTCCAAGCACGCTTTTAAGAACATTACATAGATTGGCTCATTCAAATTTATAACAGTCCTACTTAACAGTCCCATTTTTAGATGAGGAAGTTGATAATCTGAGACTCTCTCAAGGGCACAGAGCCAACACATACAGACACATATTTCAGAGAATCAGTATCTACTCGGGGACTCAGGGACTGGGGCTCTTCTGTTTGTGAGAAAGGATCCCTGTAACAAATCTTCAGATCTGTAGTTGCAGAGGCTGGATGATGCCTCTTTAAAGCCTGCTTTACTGAGATCTCTGGGTCCAGCCCCTGAGAAGGAACCTGGTCCATCAGTCACCCCGGGGACACACAAGGCTGTAGAAAAGCCTACCTTGGGTCAGACGACAGGAAGTGGTGACCTCTCGGCCATTCACTGTGCAGCGAGCTCCCTGGCTGGGCCGCAGAATGACTACACCACAGGCACAGGTGATGGTGCAGTGGTCTCTTTGGATCCACTGGCCCTGCAGGACTACAGAAAAAGCAGTGATCAAATGGATCCGAGATCTTCCAGGGAAACACTGCCTCCATTCTTTTAGTGGGACCAGAATTCACTTCTGGAAGATCTCACATCATGTCAGGAACTAAAGAGCCACCTATTCCTCTGACATCTGAACCTCTACAACTATGACAGTCTATTCTTACCATGTCCTAGGCTCAAGACTTAGTAACAGCAAGAAAACCAATCTAGTTGCTATGCAAATAGATCCTGACTCATGGAGTCTCGGTACATGTCAGAGCAGAACCGTGATCCATAGTGTCTGCAATGGCTGACTTCTCAGGACTAGATCACCAGCCTTGTCTTCCGAGGTGCCTCTGGGTGGACCACAATCTCTAAACTTTTGGGTAGAAGCCCAACATTTTAACCTTTTGTACTATCCAGGGAAGCAGAACCTTAACACTTCAAAGATCCCCTTGCTCTCAGAACATGATCATAATCCCCTGAAGAAATACGCCAGGCACAAAAAGCTGCCAATGGTTAGACCAGACACCAAGCACCAGGTGTTTTGTCACTTACCGATATCCTGTTCCTGGTCTGAATCAATCCTTCCTATTTTTGTTGTCCCTTCCTAAAAAGAAAACAAAAATTCATTTTAATAAAAGTAAAAAGTAACAAAAGTCTTACCCCTGAAGAAAAAAAAAATTTAAGTCCACATGTTTGAGTATTATCAGTTTTCCTCCTCAGCTTCTCTGAAGCCCACTTCTCAATAATGGTACAGGCTACTCTGATCCCTTTGCCAATTCACCCTATAGCCCACAAAACTCCTGGGAAGCTGGAGGGGATGGGGAGAATCCCATGTGACAAAGCAGCATAAGCTACTTGCAAAGTTCAATAAATACTGGTAAACTCCTTTCTGGTTTATAGCCCAAAGTTATTATCTAGTCTGTGAAGCTGGGTATACACACATAGCTCTGCCTCAGGGACTGAGGTGAGTATGGTCCAAGCTTGGTCCCCTCAGAGTCTAATAAGCATTTGATGAAGATGTATGGAAGTGCAGGATCATTACCTTCTCGGTCCTCAGATGAACTTTAACAGACACTAGATTTGAAGAAGGGTAAAGCACACACAGGAGAAAAGACAGCATCTAGATTTAAGAAGGACTGGAAGAGAGTATAAGGAAGGGAAGAGAGGAGGGAAAATTGGAATTAGTATGAATGAGTCAGCAGGTTAGCAGAAGACAAGCACTTGGACTGCGGGCAATCTGCACAAGATCTAACAGAAGTCTTTTTGGAAGGAGAAGAGAAACACAAAAGAGATACTGAAATGTAGATAAACACTAAATAACCATTTATAATTTTCTAGTCACTAATAGCTCAAAATGCAAGTATTATTATATCCTTTTTACGTACAGTGACTCTGATGCCCACAGGGCATATGTTGTCCAAGGAACCCACTTATTAAACAGGAGATTGTTATTAGAATTCAGGGGCCTATGAGTCTGAAGCTTATGCCTTTCCCATGTCATCACTCCTCCAAGTGGCAACAGAATTCCTACTGGGCTTCACCCTCAGCAGCCAGAGCAGGGGACTTCCTAAAACTAATGAAAAGGAAAACTTCTGAAAGGAATTAATGAGTTTCTGACATTCCTTGCCCTGTACCCCTGCCCTGGAGATGCAGTCAGTCATGCTGTCCTGTTCAGCCACTGAGAAGTATATAAATCAAAAGGTGCCAGAAACACCATAAAACAAAATCAGAGGATGGCTAAAATGGACGAGGTAAAGCTCTTCATTTAATTTCAGGGACAATCCCTGATGGTATTCTCCCTAAAAGATAAAGGAATAAACTTATTTTCAAGTGAGAACCTACTCATAGCTGACCTTCGACAACAGCCACCACCACCTTCTGGTTGATAGTGTAACCCCTTTCCCACTAGGTCACCATAGTTCCCTCAGTCATAGCAAGTACAACCTGTAGATTTGCTGAACAGAAACTACCAAAAACCCCCCAAAAAACTAAAAAGTGGTAGCATCCCAGAAAAGAGGCTGAGTGATATCCTTTACTTGCTGCTCTGATTTTTATGTTGTTGTTAAGTGCTGTCAAGTCGTGGATGACTCATAGTGACCCTATGAATGAAAGACCTGAAGATTTGTATAACTTTCATCATTTCTCCACGTTCAGAGTTTCCAGAGGCAAGCTATTTTGGAAGTAGATGCCACTCCTGCTTCCAAGTTTGTCTTAACGGGGAGATTTTTATGCAGAAGGAAGAATTTACAGTGGCACAAAGGAAATAATAAAATATTGGTAATCTGTGCTCCACTCATACCTCCCTGCTGTTTCCTTCTTACTATCCCACTGCTTCCCAAGGTGACCCAAAAGAAAACAGTTTCCAAGGTATTGCCAGGGACTAGTTCTAAGTTTGCAACCAGGTTAGCAAAGTAAATGAAGTACAGAGATTAATGTGCCATATTATTATACTATTACTTAAACCAGATACAAAACAAATATAGAAGAGGGAAGAGGATGAGTATGGGTAAACAAAACGCAGAAATGCCAGCACTGGTACTAGACTGAACTTCATCTCTAGGCCTGCTGGAATTGCACCAAGGAGCATATGCTCCCCTCCACGTGTAGTGGCTCAGCAGTGAGATGCAATGATACTATCCGCAGAGGAAATCCTCCCTCACTCTTCCCTATCGCTCTCATTTGTCCTTTAATTTCCTGCTAATACTACTCTACGGAGCTCTAGGGGTAAGAAACTGCTGCAATCTTAAAGGCACATAGTTCAAACCCATCAGTTACTCCATAGGAAAAGGATGGCAGTCTCTGGCTGTGCGATTAACTGCCTCCAAAACCTTGCTGGAGGATCAGTTATGGGTTGGCTCTGATTCAACAGCACACAACAGCTACTCTAGGGAGCTCTGGTGGCCTCATGTAAGATGCTGCAATGCAATCCAAAAGGCACACAGTTTGAGTCCATCAGCTACTCAGTGTAAGAAAAATGGGCACTCTCCTCCCATGTGATTTAATTTCCTCTAAAAATCTGCTGGTGGGTCAGCTACAGGTTGGTCCCGACTTGATACACACCACCAACTACTACTATCTAGTGGCCTAGTGGTAAGAAGCTATGCTGCAATCCTGAAAGAACCTGTTTGAATATATCTGAGGCTCTGCAGGAGAAGAATGAGCAATTTCCCCCACCCCCACCCCCTCACCCCCGTGATTAACTGTTCCTGAAAACCATCGGAGGGTCAGAAATGGGTCAGTTTGGTGAGTGCTGGTGGCCTAGTGTCACGAAGCTGCACTGCAACCCCAGAGGAGAGCAGTTCAAATATACCAGATGCTCTGCTGGAGGAGGGACAATCTCCTCCTGTACCAGTCAGATATGATTTGACAATACACACACACAAAACAATAAAATAAATGAAATTAAAATTAAAAAAAGAAATGAGTCAGTCTGACTCAATGGCACACAACAGTAAGAACTACTCTAGGTTCTACTATTAATTTCTAGTGTCATCTGCTAACTCCATCTCGAATCAATGTATCATATCAATTCTATTCAAATATTGACCATTTTAATCCATATGGTCCCTCTCTGTGGTTCTGGTTAATAGGAAGATATTTCTGGTGTTTAGTTAAGGTACAGTTTAGGGCCACTTCTGTCTAAAGACTTCACACCTAGGTAACTTATACTCCTGGCGTCAGAAAATAAGCTATGTCAGCTTTTATCTAAGGCTGTCTCTGACAACTTCCTTGAGAGCTTCTCCTAAAAACACAGCCCTACTAAATCTGATGAGCTTTGCTAACACACACCTCATTCCCCATATGCATTAGAAGCCTAATTTCTCCAGGGAAAACAGCAACATTACAAACTTTTTTTCCCCTTTTAAATGTCAGCTGGAGATGAAAACAAGAATAAAGATTGGATGTTCAGTTTTTTCTTATCAAACTTTTGTACATTTTATCTTACTCCCCTTTTGTTTTAATCTAGTGACTGAGAAGTGAGAGGTGCACTTTGATTGGTTTAGGGCATCCAATGAAGGGGAGAAGAACTCAAGAAAACATGTTCAGATCTTTTGAATTTCCCTTCTAGGCTCCAAAAACCATCTTTTGGTAGCCTGTATTTTGAACTCAAGAACATTTCAAAGTTTGGATTTCACACTGCATGTCTCTTCTTTTGTCCCTCAGGAAGTCATAAAAAGAATAAAGGAGGAAAAGTTCTTATTTTAAAATGAAGACATTAAGGCACAGTATATTACAGTAAGAGCCACAGGAGCCACAAATGCAAACTAAACGTATGTTCTGATTTCCAGTAATCTGCTCTATTCATACAAGCAAAACTTGCAACTGATCGTCCTGACAAGATTTTTTACAGCAAACATGAAGGGAGCTCAGTGGCATCTGTTTGAATTCACATAAATATGACTGCTGCCACTGCCATTTCCTTGACCTGTAGAGCCAGGAGATCAGTAAGAAAGGGGCCTAGTGGCAAGAAGCTGTGCAGCAATCCCAAAGGTACATGGTTCAAACCCACAAGCTGCTCTGCAGAAGGACAGGCAATCTTCTCCCGTGTGACTAACTGCCTCTAAAAAACCCACTGGAGGGCCAACTATGGGCTGGATCCGATTCGATGACAAGAAAGGGACAAGGGGGGCAGAAAAGGGGGAAGAGGGAAAAAAATCACTGGGAAAGCAGAAGTTGCTGAGTTGAGAAGGGTAAATGATTGGGAAATGTTCAATGAGGACTTGAAAAGACAGAGTGCTAACAGGCATAGAGCAATGGTAATTAATTACATAAACTATAATGTCTATGAATGATTGCATAAAACACAAAGAACATGTGCAAAACATGATGTATATGAATGACTATATGCAAGCCAATAAAAAATTGGAAAAATAAGGGAGGGGGTAGTTCATCAGCCTCCTCACCTTCAGGTGATAGAGCACAACACTTGTGCTGAGCACATCATCCTCCAAGGCCATCAGGTGTGGCAGGCTTGAGTCAATGACCAGCCCTGCCCTCCTCCTGTTGATGTCCACACTGTAGTTCTCCATCAAGGCCTTCCAGTCACTCCACTTCTGCATCCAGTCCTTAGTCAGCTGGTCAATCTACAGACACACAGAAGGTGATCCCAGACACTTAGTGTGGGTAAGACACTCAAGGCTAAAAGCCACCTTGGCCTGATATTCTCACAGCTTTAATTTTCATGTTCCTTACTGTAACTGCTATCAAAACCCTAAAGAGACCCTTATGCCTTTTTCAGTTGTAAACCAAACAGGACTCAAATGTCAATTGACTCTCTAAGTTTTATTCAATAAGCAAAAGTTAATTTCACAAGGTTTCTGTAATAACAGTGCATTATTTTTACAATCAGAAAAAAATCCATGGTATTCTTAAAAATAATTTTTATTCAGGTGTTAAAGGTATAAATAATTATGTTTATTACATTAAAATTGAGTCTAATAAAAAATTCTTTTTTTAGGACAATTTTTTTTTATTTTAATGAAAGTTTAGAGAGACTTTGGATTTCCATTTACTCATTGTTGCATACTTTCCTACCTGCCCACTCTTCCCCTCCAGCTGGCTTTTTTCTTTGAAAAGTAAAAAAAAAATTATTTCATTGTTATACAATTCCTCCCACCCCCAGTACACTCCACTATGTAGCTTTCATTCTGGAATCTTGTCATGACAATAATACCTAATCACATATTCCTCCTAAACAGTTCTCTCCCTCATCTGTTTCAATGCAGTATACATTATTTATCCCCTCTTAGTTTCCCCCCAACCCTGATGTCAGTCTCGTTTTACAACAGTGGCACTATGCAGTATTTGTCCTTTTGTGATGGAGATATTTCACTCAGCATAATGTCCTCCAAGGTCACCCATTTTGTATAATATTTCATGGGTTCTTTGTTTTTCAATGCAGCATAATATTCCATTGTGTGAATAAACCAAAGCTTCTCTATCCATTCATTTGTTGATGGGCACTTGGGTTGTTTCCAACTCTTTGCTATTGTGAACAAAGCCACAATAAACATGGGTGTGCATATATCTGCTTGGGTGGCCGTTATGATTTCTTTAGGGTATATTCCCAGTAGTTGAATTGCTGGGTCAAATGGTATCTCTATTTACAACATTTTGAGAAAGCGCCATACCACCTTCCGTAGTGGTTGCACCATTTTACACTCCCACCAACAGTGAGTAAGGGTTCCAGTTTCTCCACAACCTCGGCAGCAGTTGTTGCTTGTTGTTCTATTTTGCTATCCTTACTGGGGGTCAGATGATATCTCATAGTTATTTTGAAAAAAATTATTTTTAAAACTTGAGATATTAGTGAAAATCTAGGTTTATTATCTTCCTTCCTCCATTCCGAATCTGTGTCATCCATAGCTTGGGATTCTTTTAGGATTTAATATTTCTTCCCAAAGATATAGCATCTTGAGTTGTAAAATGTTTTTAATATGGCTCAAAGACCTACAAAGCATTAAGAGAACTCTCCTTGGGTAAAACTAACACTACATGGAGTTGGTTTTGAAGACAATGTAATAAAATAATGATGACAACAATACAATATTAGGTGTTTTCTGAGGATCAAGAACAAATTTTTAAAAAATAAATATGCCAAAGCTTAGAGTTATTAAGGGAGCTCTGGTGGCTTAGCAGTAAGGAATTGCATTGCCAACCATAGGTACATGGTTCAAATCTATCAGCTGCTCTGCAGGAGAAAGATAGGCAATTTCCTCTTGTGTAATTTATCACCTCTGAAATCCCACAGATTAGTTTACTAACTGAAATAATTTTCCTGTCCCTGTCACTATCCAAACCAATGAAAGCACAAAGCAGAAATCAAACACCAAACCCTAATACAAGCACATTCTCACTCAAAGCTCAGTGAAGACAGAAACTGTCCATAAACTAAACATATACTTTCTACCCTGAGGCAGGACAGCCAGCCTTAGGAATAATGGAGAAAGAGCAGACTTTCTCCCAGGGTGATGGAAAGAACAACTGATCCCACCTAACACCCACCTTCATCTCATTTTGGACAACCAGCTCCGTCATATTGTCATCTTTTTCATCCTTCAATGCATTGAAGTTCCTCTGCACAAAGAAAAGAGGGAGAGAGAAATGTTTTGCTATTTTACTGGTCTGCCAATCAGATGAATACTGCCTTTATTCTTGCAAGAGAAGATAAAGGTGTTTATTATTAAAATCTGAAAGAAATAGGAATCCTATAGATTTAGACCATTATTGGTACAATGTAGGAGCATTCAAAGAAATGCTTTTGGAGGACTCTCATTTGCTATCTACCCATATATAAAGGACAGTCAATTAAAAAAATGCTGTCTGGACAACAGAGATGTTCTAGGGAAAGAATGTCTATCAATCCAGAACTACAGAGTAAGCCCCCGTCTGTGGTCCTGTCTCTGCTCCACTGTCACTCAAACGCAGCAGGACTCAGATTCTAAGCAGAGGACAGACCTCTAAATTAGCCCTTCTGGTACACAGGAAGGAGTTCTGACTGCCTACACACCAGTTCAAAGCTCAACAGCATGGCTTTCAATCTTTCAATCTCTTCTCGGAGTTCTCTGATCAGCTTTACATTTGCATCCTGAAAACAGAGAAAGTAGTCATTACTGATTGAAAATAGGTTCCCAGATCTATCCCATCTAGTTTTATTTATATATAATCACCTGGGAAGAAGTGGATTGCTACAGCAGTAATTCTCAAAGGGTGGTCCTAGGACCAACTGCACCAATTTCATCAAAGAATTTGTTAGAAATGCAAAATCTATGTCCTTTCTTAGACCTACTAACTAAAAAATTGAGAAAAGTAAGACTCAGACATCTATGTTTAAATTTCAGGTGAGTATGGTAACACACTAGAGTTTAAATCACTGCCCTAGAATAGGAGGCCATGCAGGGAATACAAATACCAGGGGAAATCTGTTGTCTTTTTAGGTGCCGTCAAGTCTACTATGACTCACAGTGACCCTGTGAATGACTGATCTGAGCCCTGTCCTGTCCTGCACCCTCCCTACGGTCTCTGTCATGCTCAGTCTCATGGTGGTAGTCGCTGTGTCAATCATCTTGGGGAAGGTCTCTCTTTCACAGACCCTCTTCCCAGCATGGTGTTACTTTCCAAGGACTGGTTCCTCCTGACCACATGCCCAAAGCAAGTAAGATGAAACTTGCCCATCCTTGATTTTAAGGAGCAGTCTGGTTTTATCTCCTTGAAGACAGGTTTGTCTGTTCTTTTGGTAGTTCATGGTATATTCAGTATTCTTCATCAACATCATGATTCATAGGCATCAGTTCTGTCATCCTAATTCATTGTTCAACTTTGAGATGTTTCAGAAGCAACTGAAAATGCCATGGCTTGGATCAGGCAGACCTTAGCCTCTAAACTGATACTGTTGCTCTATAGCACTTCAGCAAGGTCCCTAACAGTAAATTTCCCCAATGCAACACATCTTTTGATTTCTTAACTGTTGTTACCATGAGTATTGACTGTAGATCTAAATAAAATGAAACATACTACAACTTCAATCTTTTCTCCATCTAAAAATGATGTCACCTATTTATCTACTTAGGGAGCTCTTGTAGCTTAGTGGCAAGAATCTGCACTGCAATCCTGAAGGCATCCAGTTTGAGGCCACCAACTGCTCAACAGGAGAAGGACAAGCAATCTCCTTCCATGTGATTTAAGAGCCTCAGAAAACCCATCGGAGGGTCAGCTATGGGTGGGTTCCAGCTCTACAGTACACCACCACCACCATTTGTCTAGTGGTGAGGATTTTTGTTGTGTTAATTTTGAGATGCAAACCATATTGAAGGCTGTAATCTTTAATCTTCTGCAACAAGTGCTTCAAGTCTTCTTCACTTTTTCAAGCAAAGCAGTGTTACCGGCAGAGTACAGGTTGTTAATGAATCTTCAATCCTGATGCTGCAGCATTCTTTTTTTTTAGATTTTATTTTAATAATTTTAATGAACATTTACAGATATTTTAGATTTCCATACATTCATTGTTGCACTTTTCTCCCTGCCCAGCCCTTCCCCACCCCAGTTCACTCCTCTCTTTGAAAAGAAAAAGAAAAATTCTTTCTTTGCTATACAATCCCCTCGTACTCCTCCCACCCCCCAAGTACACTCCACTATGCAACCTTAATTGTGGACTCTTGTGATAACTATAATACTCTATCATATACCGCTTTTAAATTATTCTCTCCCTCATCTGTTTCAAGCAGCATTCTTTTTGATATATTTCAGCTCTTAAATAATTTATTCAACATGTAGATTGAATAGGTATAGAAAAAGAATTCAACCCCAAGATTCATCTTTTCTGATTTTAAACCATTATTGTATTCACTTGTTCTATTTGGACAACTGCTTCCTGGTTCCATAAGAGCATAGCTGTGTTCCAGAATTGCCACTTTTCAACATTAGCCATAATTTTTTATGACTCACACAGTCAAATGCCTTTGCATAACCAGTAAAACACAAGTAAACCTCTTTCTGATATTCTCTACTTTCAGCTAAGATCCACCTGACATCAGTAATGATATCCCTTGTGCCATGACCTCTTCTGAATGCAGCCTGAACGTCTTGGGAGTTCCTGTCAATGTATTGTTCCAGTCATTTTTTAATAATCTTCAGCAAGATTTTACTTGTACATGATATTAATGATATTGTTCAATACTTTACACATTCTATTGAGTACCTTTTTCCTGAATGCAAACAAAACAATTCTCTTCCAATCAGTTGACCAAGTATTTCCCTTCCATATTTGTTGGAAAAGACCAGTGGGCACATCCAGGGTTGCTTCTTGAAGCATCTCAATTGGTATTTCACCAATTCCTGAGGCCTTAAATAACATATGATCAAGCACAATTAATAGTGAAGGAAGAAGTCCAAGGTGTACTAAGGGCACTGATGGGCAAAAATTAGTGTTGTATATCAACTCAAAGCATATGTTGTTGTTGTTATGTGTTGTTGAGTCACATGCAACTCATAGCAACCCGATGTACAACAGCTCTGAACTCTGCCATATCCTGTGCCAGTCTGCCTCTGATACACCTAATCCCATCGCCCCAGTTATTGTGCCAATCCATCTCATCTGGGGTCTCCTATGTTATCCCTCCACCCTTCTTAGCATGATGTTCTTCTCCAAGGACTGGTCCCTCCTGACCACATGCCCAAAGTATGTGACACAAAGCTTCAAAATCCTTGCTTTCCAAGAGAAAGTTGGTTTCACTCTCTCCAAGACAGACTTATTTGTTCTCTTGGCTGTCCATGGTATATTTAATAGTCTTCTCCAGCACCACAGCTCAGTTTTTCTTCTATTATCCTTAGTCACTGTCCAGATCTCTGATGCATAGCATTTAACTGTGAATACCACCATTGCCTGGATTAGGTACACCTTAGTCTCTAGACTGATGTCATTGCTCCTCAGCACTCTGAAGAAGTCCCTGAGAAGTGACTTCCCCAGTGCAATTCCTGACTGCTGGTCTTAAGAGTGTTGATGGTGGTGCCAGGAAAGCTGTAACTATTAACAACCTCAATCCCTTCTCCATCTATCATGATCTGTCAATTGGCCTAGTGGTAAGAATCTTTTTTTTCATGAGGTTTAGCTTCAATCCATATTGAAGACTACAGTCCTGGACCTTCTGCAGCAAATGCTTCAGGTCCTCTTAGTTTTCACAGGCAAGGGTGTATCAACTGCATAATGCAGGTTGTTGGTAAGTTTTCCTACAATCCTGATGGCACATTTCTCCACATAAAGTCTAACCTCTTGAATGATCTATTTTGCATATAGACTGAAAAGGTATGGAGACAGTACATCCTTGATGTACTCCTTTCCTAATTTTGAGCCATGCAGTGTTTGTATGCTCTATTCTAAAGATTGTGTTCTGCTCCAGATACAGGTTTTGCATGAGCATAAGATGTGTTCTGGGATTCCCATTCCTTTCAAGGTTAGCACAGTTTCATGAGATCTACACAGTCAAATGCCTTTGTATAGTCAATGAAGCACAGAGAGACATTCTTCTGGTACTTTGCTTTCATCCAAGATTTATCTGACATTGGCAATAATGTCTCTAGAGCCACAGCCTCTTCTAAATCCAGCTTGTATTTCTGGTGGTTCTCTGTTAATGTACTGTTCCAGTCATTTTTTTATAATCTTCAGCAGGATTTTGCTTATATGTGATATTAGTAATACTGTGCGATAATTTCCACACTGTGTTAGATCATCTTTATTTAGGATAGATATAAAATGGGTATTTCTTCCAGTCAGTTGGCCAAGCAGTGGTCCTTCAGATTTCTTGGCAAAACCTGGGTCCAAGACCACATTTGTTTGTTAACTATGTAAACTGCTATACCATCAATTCCTGGCACCTTGTTTCTTGCCAATTACTTCAGAGCAGCTTAAACTTCCTTCTTCATATTTTTGCCAGTACTTTCAGTGCACCTTGGATCTCTTCCTTCAGTACTATTGGTACTTCATCATATACTACTACTAAAAATGACTCAGTGTCAACTAATTCTTTTTGGTACAGTGATTCTGTGTATTCCATCTTTTTTTGTTTCTTGTATCAATTCATTATTTTGCCTGTAAAATCCTTCCATTTTATAACTCAAGGCTTGAATTTGTTCTTCAGTTCTTTCAGATTAAGAGATGCTGATTTTCTAACTCCGGCTCTTTACACATTTCATTGCAATATGTTGCTTTGTCTTCTCAAGCTGTCTTTTAAAAAAATTTTATTTTATTAATTTTAATGAACATTTACAGAGTTTGGATTTCCATTCATTCATTGTTGCACTTTT